ACGCATGATTCGGTTGAACACGGCATTAGGCATAATTAAATCAGATACACTTCTAAGGTTTGTAAATATTAAAATACATTATGGACTATTACTATATACAATATACAAGGTCACATGGTGCACACAAAATGCAGTAAGCAGTGCATAAAGTGACAGCAGCAAGGGGACGTTATAAATGGGCAAGTAAGTGACTTTATTAAGGACAGCAAAGTGACTTGAATTCAATTTCTTCCAATAAATTTCTATTGAATAAACATTTGTATTCAACTTTTCTGTCTGATTATTGTTTAAATTAAGTGGTCAAGATCTTTAATTCAAGCTAAGAATGATATTTATTGATTATTTTTTTATCTACCGTATCTTTCATATCCTGAAAAAATGACTCTGCTCTAGCACTTCCCCCATTGAGCAGTTTTGGAACCGGGGAAAAAGTCAAGGCCTAAATATGTTGTTTGACTTTGTTGAAGTGGAAACAATTCATGGAGTGAACAAGACCAAGCTGCCTCCAAAAATATTAATCAAAAAGGATATCTGAGGCATCCTTTACCATCCATAACTTCTTAAGATAAAGCTGGATCAATCAATTCAAACTTTTCATAGTGAATATGCATTATAGGGCCCTATATAAGTGTTAAGTTAGGCCAAGATCAACTCTATATCTGCGACTCGGGTTTTAGAATTATTTCCTTGCAAATGCAGGGTGTCTGCTGGACTGTTAGAGGGTCTAAACTAAAAGGACAGCGGTGATGATCCAGGGCACTCAAAACATTCAAACACACATCATAATACATTTATTTAAAAATAATGAGTACTGCATGTTTATGTCTATGTTTCTAAGGGGGGGGTGTTCACCTGGAATTTTAAACATACAATATGTAATTTTTAACTGTACTGTCTTACTAAAGGTAAAAAATGTGTACAGATTGTAACTGTAAAGTATACCAGATTATATTGATAGTTATTAAATTGACAGTAATATCCATTTATCCATTTTCTTCCGCTTCTCGTTTGCCGGAATCGAGGGGGCAGGCTAGTCTAAGCAGAGACGCCAGACTTTCCCTTATCCCACACACACCTTCCTCCAGCTCATCCGGGGGCACCCCAAGGCTTTCCCAGGGCGCTGAGAGTTCATAGGCCCCATTTAGACAGAGGCGATGCGCAGACGTTGCCAAGCTATTAACAGAAACAACCTTGGTTCCTTATGCACATTTCACTGCGCTCACCTCTGCAAGGATGACATATCAATGTAGTTCTAGCGCCCCGGCCAGTGTGAGCAGAGGAACTTTACCACACGGACAACAGTGAGCCCAGCCCTCCAACGAGTTATTCTACTTTCTCCATAACTTCCACTGCAAGACGTGTAAAAATGCACAACATCATTCTGCATTTAACCGTGGCTGCGAAAATGTAAACTGAAATCGAGCTTTGCGTGGTTTTTGTTTGGACGAACAAAGGAGTAGAATCCACCTGTGTGTAGCGCTCGAAGCACACGTAGCTAGTTTGTGTACCCGCCGCATTGTTGTTTGCGCTTGTTCGCGGCCAAGCCCCTCTGTGCTCGTGCATGACACGCCACACACGGTATTTGCGCAACGCATTATGGAGCTTGTCAACTCTGCGAACGATGCCAAATCTAGGCGAGTTATTACTATCTCCCTGGTCCCATTTGCACTATGACAAGCCCCGGTGATTCAAGATGGCGCCCTATTCAAATGAATGGTGTGCTCAGTAGCGATGGGACTTCACGGAGACCGGGAGAAATAGCATGAATTTGGCCTTTATTTGGGCATGTTCTGGTCCTCCGCGTTCTGCGCAGTGGACGAGCTCCCTTGATGCGTTTGCGGCCAATTACGCTGTGTGGCTTCATGCACGTGCCACAGAGGGCTCCGGCCACGCTTGACCAATCAGAGCTGCTTATCAGAGCAGCGGCAGAGTGGAGTCAGAGGGGAAGGAATGAAGCAGTTTTGTGGCAGTAAAGTGTGGATTTAAGAAAACCAAAGGATTTAAGGAAGAAAAAAAAAAGTTCATGATGACAAGGGACACTAAAATCCCCACAAATCCAACCTTTGAAAGCTGTAGGTTCTCCTGTCGCTGAGGTCGAGTGTTTTGTTTGCATTGGGTTCTATGGGACATTTTTTTTCTGAGTAGCCCGCTTGAATTTAGTCTGCAGTACCTTTGCCAATGGGTGGGACAGCTATAAGCAAGTAATACCCTATCCAGTTATTTTTATTGATCAGGCTACTGAGCACAAGCCATTCATTGGATAGGGCGCCATCTTGGGATCCCCGGGGCTTGTTTCACCCCCTGGAAACACAGTCTCATGATGTGAATCCATGGTAAACCTGCTGTCATGTTGCCTCCTCCTCAGGGATACGGATGAAAATTATTTGTAGCTATGTCCGGATCTGAACATTACATTTATTGTGTAGTCCCTGTCAAATAAACAAATAAAATAAAACAAAAGAATAAATGGAGGTAGCAACCGACATCCAACTTTAGGTTTTTTACAGCCGCAGCGTCTCCGTGCTTAATCGGGCCATAGAACCTCAAGCGTGTCCTGGTCTTCACTGGGGCCTCCTTCTGCGTCAGGAGGCATCTGGAACAGATACCCGAGCCACCTCAACGGTACTCTCAGTCACTGGAGAAAGGCAGCGGGCTCTACTCCGAGCTACTCCCATGTGACTGAGACTCCTACCATATCTCTAAGGGAGCACCAGCCACTCTGCGGAGGAAGCTCATTCCGGCCGCTTGTATCCGTGAACCTGTGAGGGACAAAACTGTGGCCATAGCACAGAGTCCAACAACTGAAGCAATGGGGGTCAGATCCTACCAATCACCTCTCTCCGTGTCACTGGAGAGGTGCTCCCAGGATCATTTGATTATCAAACTCCCTCCCCCTACGTTAAGGTGGCCAGTCCAGGGGAATCTGTAATAAAATGTCATAATAACGTGTATGTGTACCTTTAAAACAAAAGTCACCCCCCCAAAAGATTTCGGGGGTACTAGTCATTCTACAAATTGAACACACATTTTGTTCTAATGAGAAAGTCACCCATATATACACAACTACTACTAATGTGTCTTTCTTAAACCCATTTGGTCAGAGAAAGTCTGTGATACATGTTCTCCTGATATCTTGTGGGACTGCCTTGTGCATAACTAAATAAATTGATATGGGATGGTACAAACTGTCTTAACAAAATGAACTGTGTGTGATGGTTTTTTTTGACATGTGTTTCACTAAACAAACCACCAGTGGACTCTGCACTGTTCGAAGAAGACACATAAATGAAAAACGAGTGAACTATTTATGGGAATGATAACTTCTTGAAAATGCATCGTATTCTACTGTAGATGAAATGTTTAACTCTGTCACCTCTAGTGTTTTGCATGTTCTGGATACCGTTGCCTGTGAAGGTTTAAAATAGTGAAAAATAAGCAGAAGGCGCGTGGACTAAAGCCAGATCGGTTTCAGGATAACCGCCCCCCCCCCCCCCCCCCACTGAAGAGAATGTGCCGGAGGGTCAAGCGGAAGTGGGCGCAAGTCCTACCTCCAGGTTGATTATCAAGATATTCAAGTATAAGTTGTGCGAGTTTAAGGGTGCTACGTAGTACGAGAGAAAGGTATTTTTCTGTACTGATTGAAGGCTGCAGTAACAATCTGCGTGTTCTGTTTTCAACAGCTTATTAGATTACAAACCCCCTGTTCAAATGCCATTAGAGCTAACTGCCAAACGGTAAATGAATGAGTTTGCACACTTGTTCAATGACAAGGTTCGAGGCATCAAAAAACGCCCATTGTCTCCAATCCACAGTATAACCATCCAACAGCAGAAAAGGCTCTCTCGAGCTAACTCACTTTGCTCCTGATAGATGATAAAAATGTCCAGAAATAATCTCCAGTCTGAGTCCTCCACATGCCAGCCGGATGTATACCCACTAAATTTCTGAAGGTCTGTTCTGGGCAGTCGGTTACCTTCACTCACACAGATAGTAAACATGTCCCTTCATTCTGGATATTCCCAAATGCCTGAAAACTCAAGGCCCCTGCTAAAAAAGAGAGCCTGGATGCTACGGGGAAAGTCCTTGAAAAAGTTGTCTACCTACAGCTCACTAGATTTCTTATAATTAACCTGATATGATTAATATCCATGCTTTGTCTCCAGTAGGTTAGACTACTGCAATGGCCTGCTCACAGGTCTGTCCAAACAGGCTGTAAAAACAGCTGCAGTACATTCAAAATGCCAGCAGCTCGAGTCCTGACTAGAACCAGGAAGTACGACCACATTTAGTCCAGTCTCAGGTCTCTGCACTGGCTCCTGTGGCTCAGAGAATAGACTTTTAAACAGCTCTGCTTGTGTACAAGTCTCTCCATGGCCTCGCACCAAAATATATTAGTGAATGTTAGTCCCAATATGAACCAGCCCGGACTCTGAGGAGCACAGGGACTGGCACTCCTGTAGTGCCCCGAGTCAGAACTACACATGGCCGGAGGCGGCTTTCCAGTTCATGCTGCTAAAATCTGGGAACAATCTTCCTGAAGATGTGAGGGACAGGCCTCCTCTCTGCAATGTTTAAAACCAGATTAAAAACAGTTCTGTTTAGCTGTGCTACAACTGAGGGATGTTATATTTTTTATCTATATCTATATATTTTTAAGTGTACTTTGAATGTTATGATTATAATGCTTTCTATGTTCTGTTCAGCCACTTTGAGTCTGCCTTTGTGTATGGAATGGTGCTATACAAATAAACTTGCCTTGCTTGCACTTGTGTGAGTGTGTGTGTGTGCACGTATTCTCTGTGGTGGGGTTATCTCTGCTGTGTGTCTTGGGTGTGGTCTCTCTGTGTTCTATTCATTAAGCATCTTCATTGACAGAAAAGCTGTCTTGAACGGAATGATGGGAAATACTTTCAGTCTCTAGTGTGTAGAGTCAGACCAAATATTACCTCATGATGTGACCTTTGACCTCAGAAGCGGACTGTCGTTGTTAATGATTGAGGTTATACAGATGACCGTGGCCCTGCCCCACAACAAGCCTTTCCCCCCTCTGGATAAAGCCTTGCGCTCTCCTCAGCGCGCAAACCTGGGCGCGTGGTGGACACTCCTCGGGCACCCTCTTTGGGCCGTCGTGCACGCTTGTGCTCGTGCTCGTGGTGCGCGCACAGAAGAGGACTCGCTGGGACCACGCGCGTGCGGTCAAGTTGCACGGGGAAAACGGCGATCGTGACCGGTGCCAACACAGGTGCGTGCGCGCGACTACACATGCATGCGCATCAGCTGTCGTTGTCATTACACCGCTTTAATAATAACAAGAATTTAATTCAGATTTTGTCAGCAGCGGGACGGTTTTCATTAAGGTGGGCATTGGACTTCAAGACTATGAGACATTACAGCTGGGGTCTGTGCCTTTAAAGATGATGTATGTCACACATGTTTCAACCACAAACTACCACCTTAACCGTTAGGGTTAGGTGGCCAGAGTCCTGAACCCCAATTCCTGAGTCCTTGGTCTTAGTTCCTGGGTCTTAGTCCATGCGCTTTGAGTCCTCGGTTTCTTGGTGGTGAGATGAACGGCTATTTTCATCTGTTCTGTTTTCAGTAAGCGTTGCTTCTCATCTGTTCCTCATCTAGAACACATTCTCTGAGTCAGTGATAAGGAACTACTTTGTTGATCGTGGAGTCCAACCTTCACTGCCTTAGACCATCCCAAACACTGCCAGACCTATGCCTGTTGAACACTGCCCCAAGACCTGCTCTAACACAAGAATGCAGCTCTGCAGCGTCTCTGAGTCCGAAAATCTTCGATAGATAAACAGCAGTATGTGTTTACGGACCTGCTCCACATGTTTAAACAGTACTTCCGCATCGCAAACACGTTTGCAGCACTTCTTTACGGTCACAGGTGAATAGAACTCAGGCTGGAGACAAATGTTCAACAAGCACTGTGTGGCCCATTGTCAATACTGTTGAAGTCCTGTTTTTGTCCTGTTTAGCTCCTGTTTTTGGCTGTATCTTCAGTCTGCTCTTCAGACCGCTTGTGACCCCTTGACACTGCGACTCTCTGGTTGGTCAATGCACGTGTGGCGGGCAGAAAAGAATTCAGCTATGTTCGGTCTCCTGCCTGCGTTGAGTTGCTGCAACGCTGCCTCTGCTGTGCAGTCCGTGCGTGCGACACACTTGTAGTTCCAGTCTTGATGGACGTCACTATTGACTATGCATTGGAAGTCAACGCTAAAACGCATGCTCTGGTCTGAACGGCCCATAACACTGCCAAGACCTGCATAGCACGGCCCCAGGACCTGCCCTAACACTGACACACCAATACAGTTATGGCAAATGCTTGTGAAAATGTCAAAGACTTTTTCTCCAAACTACAGGGTAGTTTTCATTTGGTAAAAAAGTCAAAGGAATTTCGACAGGTTTAAGAGGATTTGGTCCAAAACGACAAAACACGTCTGTATTACAGAGAATGGCAATTAAAAATGTTACAGGTCTGGCCATTCATTCTGGTTTATTTTATGATCGTTTCACATATGCTGGGGTTTTGTATCATTCATATAATAACACAACTCTTAAAAAGTTAAATAACTCTGTTGTACAGCTGAATGATGGAAGGTTTTGTGAAATAATAACACTAATAGATTTTACATCTGAAATGGATTGTCAGGTATAGAAAGCTTCTGTGTTTTAGTTAAAGAGCTGCGTAAAACTGATCATGTTTGGAGAGATAGCTGAAGATATCTTCTACATTTATTACTGAAGTGTTAAGGACCAGCAATGTATTTGCTGTTGATCCTCAGTCACTAAAACTTAAATGTGTGATGTTTGGATCCTTGAATAAACTGTTTGTTGTTCCTCTGCCAAATTATATTGAAAGAGATTAAAAGTAAGGAAATGCAAAGTCTCTTTTTTGCCATATTAACAACATATTGATTGGTTATTGCAGTATTAGTGCAAATGAAAAATAAAAACTTACATATATTTCCTTTTCTCTCTTAACAGCTGTAAATTCAACACTATTGAATTTTCTGTGTACTAAAGTCTAGTCTATTCTCTTAAATACATTTAAGTGTACTACCATACAATATATTTAGAATACTAATCTGTAATGTATTTTTCTTGTACTAAAAACAAATACATTTTTTCTTCAATACATTTAAATATACCACCATATAATATATTTATAATGCAGAACTGTAATATATTTTAGATATATTTTGAGCGTAATAAAAATGAATATATTATTTCTCAAATATATTTTAATACATTAAATAAAAAAATCTATTTGGAGTAAATCTCTAAAATAACCATTTAGTATACTTTAAATATACTATAATAAAATATAATTCTACAAACTATGCTTAAAATGTATTGGTTAGAAATTGAATACTTTGACTATTCTGCCAAAATTTTTGTACCTTTTTCAATGTATCCCACTTTACCTACCAAAAAAGTTTTTTTGTTTCTCTTGATAAACTTATCTCAACTTACATATGGAATGGTAAGCCTCCACGAATCCGCAAAGAATTTATGCAAAGACCGAGATCATTAGGTGGTTTAGCCCTGCCAAATTTTCAGTACTATTACTGGGCAGCAAATACACGAAATATGCTGTATTGGACTAAGGATGTGGCTCCCTCTTGGATTAATATTGAGAAAAATTATTGTGGAAATACCTCTCTGCCAGCATTGTTAACAACATCACTCCCTTTAGAAATTCACCATTTCAAACGTAACCCCCTGCTTTATGATTCGCTGAGAATATTGGTACAGTGTAGGAAAAAATTTGGCCTGCATACTATGTCAATAAAGGCGCCTTTGTTTTCAAACCATGCAGTTCCACCGTCCATGGTGGACTCGGCTTTTAAGATTTGGAACAACAAAGGGTTACACACCTTTAAAGAGCTTTTTATTGATAATGTTTTTGCCTCATTCTTGCAACTAACCGAAAATTTTAATATACCTAAAACGCATTTTTTTCGTTATCTGCAGTTACGTCATTTTATGAAAAACAAATACCCCTCCTTTCCTAATCTACCAGTAGCTTCAGCTATAGACGAAATACTAGATGTAAATGTTTCTAAAAAGGGAAGCATTCGAAAAATTTATAATATTTTGTTTGATATACAGTCTCCATCTTTGACTATTATTAAATCACATTGGGAAAAGGATCTAGCACTAAACGTAACAGATGAGCTCTGGGGGGCCATGCTTCGAGGGGTGCACTCCTCTTCTATTTGTGCCAGGCATGGACTTCTTCAATTTAAGGTCCTCCACCGATTACACCTTTCTAAGGAGAAAATAGCTAAATTTTATCCGGGCACAGATCCTTTGTGTAATCGCTGCAAGTCTGATGTTGGTTCACTCATACATACCTTTTGGTCATGCCCTAACATTTATAATTATTGGACATCTATTTTTAAAACTTTTTCAGAGGCTTACAGCATCAGAGTTGTACCCAATGCTCTGACTGCGCTCTTTGGGGTGATGCCTCCTGGAGTAACTATCCCAAATTACTCCTTGCGTGCTGTGGCCTTTGCCTCTTTGATGGCACGACGTCTTATTCTTTTTAAATGGAAAGATGAGTCCTCTCCTACACATTCCCACTGGATCACTGATCTTATGCACTTTCTACATATAGAAAAAATTCTGGCTCAATTGTCAAATTCGAACGAACGTGGCGCCCATTCCTAAAATACATTGAGGATTTGAAAATGGTTGGCATACCTTGATATAGTTATAATAAGACCTGCAACTCTAAATCTACCTTTTATTACAGTATGGAAATCTCGTGTACATTTCTCATATTTTTTTTATTTTATTTTTATTTTTTTGTTATGTTTTGTAATTTTTTTTCAGTCAATCTATTGCATTATATATATTTTTTGTTTTTTGTTTTTCTGTTTTGTTTATATGTTTGAAAGAAAAGGCATGTCATTCTGTGTCTGGTACACACATAATGTGTGAATTGTCATATTGAAGATGCATAAATAAAATTATAAAAAAAAGAAAGAAATTGAATACATTATAAATATATTTAAATGTATATTTTTTTCACTTGGGCACAGCAGGTGCCATGAGAGACGCGCCACAAAACTCCTCAAATGCTGTCATTCAGAAGTTTTGGCTCCAGAGTTTCTCTGTAAAATCTGGACCGCAAACGCTCTCTCTGTTCAGCGCTTCAGTGCATTCACAAGACGCTGCAGACGCTTCATTGATGAAGCCACCGCTGCACAATATGAATTCATTCTTAATTTATTCACTTCTGCAATCCAAGAGAGATTTTTAAAATTTATCAAAACATTTCAGCAAATTTGTTTAAAACGCAGCTGAATAAATAGCGTATATAGCGTGTATTTATTTTTACATAAGCATGAACAACCTGTGGCAGACCCTGCGCCGTACACGTAATTACGCAGATGTTTTGCCTCATTCACCTCTGGCAAATGTGGGTTTTCCTTAGTTTTGTGCATAAAGCCCTATAAATGCACCTGATCTTGCTCAAAACTGTCTCAGCCACTGCCCTTTACTCCGCAGAGCAGAGATAGGATGCGACGCACCAGCAGTTTATTCATTCATTCAGGTCATTAATTATTTATTTATTTACGTCGAAATTTCAGGAGAGATGAGTGCTGCAGTGGGTCTAGACACTAGGGAAAAAGTGTATATATAATATAGCATATATATATATATTTTTTAAACGTGAATAAACTCAAAAGTTAGTGCTTTTTGCGGCTTCTTAGCCGACTTCCTGCTGACCTGTCGCAAAAACAGGGCGTGGAACAGGCACTTTCTGAATATCTATATAGGCGTGACTTTCATAAATACGCTGGTTTTGAGCGCGGCATTTATCAACAGCCGCAGGTGCGTACGCTCAGATCTGTGCCTCACACGTTCATAAATGCCACGTCCGATCTTGTGTATCTGGGATCTACACCCAAAATGTACACCTTTTTCTGCACAATTTTCATACATGAGGCCCAGAGACTCTACATCCAGAGTAACAAGCAGAGAATCAGGCTCATACCCAACGTTGTCTGTTTTTTATTTTTATTTATTTATTTATTTGAGAAAGGGGGAACAATACATATTAATATACATCATGTAAATATGCCAGATTATAGCCTTAGGCGAATTTCCATCTGCAGACCCCCTGGCAGGTTGGTGTTACGCACGGTATTAACAAGAATGTGTGTAGTATCTTGTAGAAATGATGCTAAAGAGTTCGTTAAGGGCTTTATGAAGAAATCAATGTGTTTGATGCAGGTTGAGTCAGAGTTCCTTTGACACTAATTCTGGTTCTATTTGGAGGGAACTGTGTGTGTTTGGTCTGTAAAGCTCAGCAGCTGCAGCACAGGGTTAAGACTGAAGTGTGATCCTGTAGAGTCTGACTCTGGGTTCACATGATGCAGCCTCAGCTCTGTCTCCTTCACTTTGTTCCAGATGCTGCGTCTTCACACCTGCTTCTCACACGTTTTAAAGTGTCGATGAAGAGATGAGCTATGTCTAAAAGACTTTCCACACTTTCCACAGACAAATGGTTTTTCTCCAGTGTGGATTCTGTAGTGCACAGTGAGGTTAGATAATTGTGTAAAGGTCTTCTCACACTGGTCACATTGGTGAGGTCTCTCTCCTGTGTGGACATGCTGATGTAGTGCGAGCAGATGTTTGGTCCTAAATGTTTTTCCACACTGGTCACACTCAAATGGTTTCTCTCCTGTGTGGATCCTCTGATGAATTTTGAGATTACCCTCTTGTCTAAAACTCTGATCACAAACGTCACAGCTGAAGGGTTTTTCTCCAGTGTGGATTCTGCTGTGGCACTCGAGATCGCCTTTTTTGTTAAAACCTGTTCCACACAGATCACACTCGTATGGTTTTCCTCCAGTGTGAGTTCTGTAGTGTCTCTTTAGATCAGAAGCAGAGCTGCAGGTCTTTCCACACTGATCACAGGTGAACCCCATTCTGTAAATGGACTTTGTAGATCTGCAACAAACGCAGAAAAAGCACACATCAGTTACTTATCTGAACACATTTGATCAACAAATGCACATGAGGCCAAAATTGGGCTGTGTCTATTTAATGTACAGTTTTTGACAAAAGCTGCTCCTATCGTGCGTGTGTGTGTACTTGTTTTCAACTCCTGGTGGGGTCCATAACCTGAGATTCCACTCACGTCATGGGGACTGGGCCCGAACACTGGACCCCAGCAGACTCAGATTCTGACGATTTAACTGTCAAGAAGAAACCTGTAAAAAAGTATGGAAAAAGAAAAATCAAAAACACTAAAGGGGATTCTGAGACTCGGAGAGCACCTGTACTTAAAACACGGGCATGATAAGACTAAGCATGATTACATTAGGCAGAAAATGAGAGAAGTCGGTAGGTTAATTAACGAAGCAAAAACCGCAGGGAAACTGAGAACAATGAAGGATTTCTTTATTCCTTCCAACTTTAACCATGTGATTGATGCAGTCAGGTCTGTGGCTGGATATGACAAGGACACAAATCAAACTCGGCCATAGCCTCAAAAAGCTAGAAGATATTCTTGAATGTGAAGCACTTCCGGCTCGTGTCAGGACGTTCTGGTGTGAAGACCCTGTGTCTGAAAACTAGAGAATGCGCGTCTGGTGAGCGGGGCTTCAGCGTTTCAGCGTTGGCAGTCTGAAAGCACCATAACACTCTGGAAACACGTACACTTTGAATAAATCACAGATCATGATGAGGAGCCTCTTCTGTTTCTATGATTTTAAATCTGACTTCTGAGTGTATTATTTTGATCTGTATGTTTTTAAAATGTGAAGCAGTTTGTGATCCTGGACAGTCAAAGGCTCTATGCAAATAACTCGACAGGGAAGTGTGACCCAGCTGTTGCTGTGGCAGGCTCTGCGCTGCGTGATTACGCACGGCTATTTGTATTCCTCATTCACATCTGGTAAAGCAATGTGTTATTTCATTAGATGTGTGTAAGCCTCACACAGACACACACCCCATTAACGCATGGACCGATGGACTATGGTATTGCTCACTCCAAATGTCTCACTGCCCTGTCCATTTGAACAATAGCTAGCTACTACAGGCAAGAATTTGGGAAAAATATTGTTTTCCCCTTCACAGTAATAAAAATGAAATTGGAAAATTTCACTAAAAATCAAAAAAGACAGTTTTCCCAGTTTTGATGGGTGTAGTAGCTCCCATTCAATGATAGCTAGCTACTACAGGCAAGAATTTGGGGAAAAAAATGTTTTCCCCTTCACAGTAGGAATAATGATATTGGCCTGACACACTGCATTACAGACTATATCCTCTTCTGTGTGAATAACACTGTACCAACTAAGAAGGTGCGGTGTTTTTCTAACAACCACCCATGGGTGACCCCTGAGCTTAAAGCCCTCCTGAACCTCAAGAAAAGGGCTTTCATCTCAGGGGACAGGGAGGAGCAGAGGATCCAGCACGAGCTCCAGTGGAGGATCAGGAGGGCCAAGAAGGACTATGGGAAAAAGCTGGAGCAGAAGCTGGCCCAGGGAAACGCCCGCGACGTGTGGAGAGGCCTAAAGAACATCTCCGGCTTTGGACAGAGTGCCAGTGGGACAGCGGATGGAGACCAGCACCGGGCGGACGAATTTACTGCCCCGCCCGACCCGCCTGGGAGTGCTTCAGTCCAGCACCGGACCACGTTCAGCGGCCACTGGTCCACGTCCTGTAGCTAGCTTAGGTCCTGGATCATTAGCCTGTCCGTCCGGAGGAGCGGATCCCTTTCTCATATGGGTCTCCCTCCCTGTGGGTTTCCCTAGTGCTCCCCAAGGTTTCTCACTTTTTCCCACTGGGTTTTTTAAGAGTTTTTCCTTGTCGATGCAGGAGGGTCTTGTTGGACAGTTAGTGTCCAACAGAAAGGATCGGTGATGATCAGGACACTTTAGCATTCTACAACATGTATGGACATTTTCTTCTGTGTGTGCTTTATATTCTTCATGTGTTTTAACTGTTGATTCTCTGACCTGTGTTGGTGATTTCAATGGTTTTGTTAAGTCTCTGAGATGACTTCTGTTGTGACCTAGGGCTATACAACAATACATTGTATTGTATTGTATTGTATTGTATTTAACCAGTACTTCAACCGGTTTGATTCTCCCCCCCCTCCCGCCCCCACCTCTTCACACGTCCCCAGCCCAGTGGACACTGCCTCTGGCTGCCAGCCCCCACCTCGGACAGTACACCCCAGTCCCCCCCCTCTCCATCACACCGGACCAGGTGAGGAGTCAGCTCCAGCGCCTGAAGCTGAGGAAATCCGCAGGACCGGACGGGATCAGTCCCAGGCTGCTGAGGACCTGTGCAGACCAGCTCTCTGGGGTCCTCAGCTACATGTACAACCTGAGCCTCAGCCTGGAGAAGGTCCCTGTCCTGTGGAAGACCTCCTGTGTGATCCCGGTCCCAAAAACAGCACACGCCAAGGAACCGGCTCACTACAGACCAGTCGCACTGACCTCCCACCTGATGAAGACCATGGAGCGGCTCATCCTCACCCATCTCCGCTCCGTGGTCAGCCCCACCCTGGACCCGCTGCAGTTCGCCTACAGGCCCAACAAAAAGTTTGGCTGTAGTAGCTAGCTATCATTGAATGGGAGCTACTACGCCCATCAAATCTGGGAAAAAATTCTTTGTTGATTTTTAGTAAATTTTTCCAATTTCATTTTCGTTACTGTGAAGGGGAAAACAATATTTTTCCCAAAAGTTTGGCTGTAGTAGCTAGCTATCATTGAATGGGAGCTACTACACCCATCAAATCTGGGAACATTTACTTTTTAAACACACCCTTTTTATTGTATTCACCAACCCATCTGCAACGTTCTGTCAAATCTTGCACTTTGCAGACAGTCCCTTGCTGAGAGCTTAGCGCACTATGAGCGGAGACTTCATCTTCATTGATTTTCGTGTTATAAATCGTCAGCTGCAGCCTAATGTAACGGGTGTCACCAGTGGGTGTCACCAGTGGGTGTCACCAGTGGGTGTCACCAGTGGGTGTCGCTGGTGTCAGCCTTAAAATAGGAAGTTGGCTACGTGCCAGACAGGTGCCAGTTTCCGTGGGCGGCCAGAGTGTTTGCTGGGCCCATCTGTGTGTGAGTGTTTGGCCAAAGTTACGGTGAGCTTTTAAAATAGTTTATGCAGTATTATGGTGATGAAATTAATAGTTTTGTTCTGTGGTAGGAGGCCGTGCTGTTTGCCATTGGGAAAATAAACATCTGTGTGTGTGGGGGTTGCGACGCACAGGTAGCAAGTTTTTCACAGGTTTTTAAATGATTAAAGTTTTGTTTAAGATATTAAGGGTTTTGTGTTTTTCTGTTTTACAGTGGTTTTAATTAGGGCTGTCAAACGATAAAAATGTTTTAGTTGATTAATCGCATAGTAATGGTGAGTTAACTCACGATTAATCGCATGTTTAACATTCTATTTCAAATCCACTCCAATTGAAGTTAAATGAGATTATCAAATATAATTACCAGTATTGGGTAAATTACTTTGAAAAAGTAATTAGTTATAGTTACTTGGTACTTCTTCCAAAAAGTAATTGACTCACTAACTGAGTTACTCCACTATAAAAGTAACTAGTTACCAGTAAAAGTAACTATTGCGTGGTACCGAGCTTTAGCTGGCTGTAATTTCGGATAACTTCTGAGTAGATTAATTGCTGCAACAACCCCACCCTATTTTAGTATGATATGTTAGTTTAGAGAACTGTCCTGCAGGCAAACAGGTATAAGACAGGCCAAGGTGCCATTTAATTAAATTGCATTTATTTTTATCTATTGATCAAACAAACAGATTACAAAACTTGCAATTGAAAGAGACTATTTTAAAATAATTAGTTCCCAAAGACACACACGAGCAACACCCGCGCCTGACAGTCAAGAACCAGGGAGAATACAGTGCGCAGAGCGCGCCTGACAGACAAGAACCAGGGAAAATACAGTGCGCAGAGCGCGCCTGACAGTCAAGAACCAGGGAGAATACAGTGCGCAGAGCGCGCCTGACAGACAAGAACCAGGGAAAATACAGTGCGCAGAGCGCGCCTGACAGACAAGAACCAGGGAAACAGAGCGCTGAGTATGTGAACGAAGCAATCGCTTGCTGCTGTTATTATAATAGCTAGATCGGGTCTGCATTGGATTTCACTTGCACACCGCGGCGGACCGCGGCGGACCGTGGCGGACCCGTGGCAGTCTTGCCGCGGATAACAGTCTTTTCACTGAGGATCTGCCGCGGTGGCGCTGCTGGTCCGCTGCAGACTTGGCGGATCCGCTCAGGACCTGCTGCATATCCGCTTACCTGTTCTGTCCCGCGGATCTAATAATGTATATATTGAATTCTGCTGCATGTCATGTGAACATATACTCACTGCATGTAAACATGCCTATTGGTATTGCAATTTTTAATTAGAAAGCATTGGATGAAATAAGATTTTGTACATATTGTAACTACACAAAAACCATAATGGACACAATACATTACTCCTGTTATATAAAGTCAAATATTATTTATTATTTAATGGCAATTACAATACTTACTATATATTGAATAGTTCCTTTCATATATTCTAAACCATATGTAAGTACACAAATAAAGTATTTTTTAATAATCTATGATGCAAACTAGACATTTTAATCTTTTTAAAATCAAATATGCATTACAAAAATTGTGGACGCAATTTTATAAAAATATAATCCAATAGATTCTGTCAGATCCAAAAGCAGCTGCAGCTCTAACAACATGGCCCTCCCTTCACACATGCTACACAATGCAAATGAGTTCACTATAGCACAGGTTATGTATCAATGTATTCACTTTATCAAAAAAGACTGGGCTACATAATGGGACTGAAATGGCCACAACATTTTGTCAACAGTTTGTAATTTCACAGAATTGTGTGTCCGTAAAAGTCTGTCAGGTCATTGGGTTTGGGACCAATGCTTTAGTCATTAACAATTCAAAACAAATACATATCTTGAATACATTTTTTGGGGAATAGCCTAGAAAGTCCAAAAGGCAGCAGTAGGTGTAGATTATGGCTCTCCTTCTGCAGCTGTAGGTGTAGATTATGGCTCTCCTTCTGCAGCTGTAGGTGTAGATTATGGCTCTCCTTCTGCAGCTGTAGGTGTAGATTATGGCTCTCCTTCTGCAGCTGTAGATGTAGATTATGGCTCTCCTTCTGCAGCTGTAGATGTAGATTATGGCTCTCCTTCTGCAGCTGTAGATGTAGATTATGGCTCTCCTTCTGCAGCTGTAGGTGTAGATTATGGCTCTCCTTCTGCAGCTGTAGGTGTAGATTATGGCTCTCCTTCTGCAGCTGTAGGTGTAGATTATGGCTCTCCTTCTGCAGCTGTAGATGTAGATTATGGCTCTCCTTCTGCAGCTGTAGATGTAGATTATGGCTCTCCTTCTGCAGCAGTAGGTGTAGATTATGGCTCTCCTTCTGCAGCTGTAGGTGTAGATTATGGCTCTCCTTCTGCAGCTGTAGATGGTTCCACGTGGCGCCTGCTCAGATAAATCTTGAAGATTTGTCTAGTTTGGTCTGTCATGTTCCAGTAAAGGTTTTCCCCTTTTCACAGCATCAGAGTCTGACATGAGCACACACAGATTAGATCAGTGGACATTTCACTTTAGTATTTTCTTCTTTTTAGACTTACCAAAAGTTGTACAGCACAGCCATTCCAAATGTCCTTGGCTCAGCGTCCCCGTCCTATTTATATCAAAAGATTCATAAAAAACAGGGTAATATTTATGTAGTAATTGTAAACACTAAACCCCAATATACTGCTGTCCTGAAAACCGGTACAAGCCAGGCTTTGATAACCACTACCTTAATACTTTCTTCCATTTGTTTTTGGATGAATGATGTTTAAATGATTTCTTATTTTCATGATTGATTTACTCATTTTCAAACTTGACAATATTAAGACAATGTGAATTATTCAAACTAATTTTAATGGCTTCTACTACCTGTTTTTTTTTTTATATTGATGCACTTTAACCAAGCACTTGAACTGACTGCTGTAAAGCATTGTATTGTTTGAATCAAATGTGTAACCAACCACTTGCTGCTTCAGTTCCATGTTGGTGCCTCTAATCCATGCCTCCATCCTTTCCACATCCTCCAATGTGTTGAGTGGAAATGTTTAATTGCAACTATTATTCTGTTTAATATTTATACCACCTTTTAAAAAGGTCAAATTCAAAGGGGAAGTAGGAGTGTGTTCTTTGGCCATTGCTTGTGTTGTTGGTGGTGGAATAAATGGAGCTTTTCTTTTCTCTTTTCTTGGCTCTGGCTCAGAGCTCTCTGAGCCACTGTCTCCATAAAAGTGACTGAGGATACATTTAACAGCATTAGTGTTTTACCAGTTACCAGTAAAACAATCAAGATGAAGAGATTCTTTATTTGTGCCACAGTGGGAACATTTTCGATTAATTCACAGATTAATTGCCATTGCTAGAGATTTTTGTATAAAAATCACAGTTTACTTACTTTGTTTTACGCGTCCTCTTTCTTGGTCCAGCATGCTCCTCGTCTGACTGAAGGTCAGATGTGGAGCAGGTCAGTGCCCTCTGCAAAGTTTGCCTGACTTCAAGGTACTGGTCTGCAAAACAACATTTTTTCTGATCTCATCACATAAACATATAACAAAAACACCAAAAGCTGAAGAAAACATAGAATTGGCCATATCAGATCACTCCAATATTTTGTCCAAAACCGCTGTTGATCGTAATATCTTCTTGTAGGTCAGAAGTGTCTTTATGAAGCTTACCACATGTTTTCAGGATGCGTATATCAAATTTAAGCCAGTCGTCTCCGGGAAGCTCCTTTTTCCTGCATGCCCCATCGATGCGAGCATCATGTTGAAAAGGCCAAAAGCACATCTTCAACCCACACCGATGGGGCAATAGAGAGAAGCTTGTTCTCAACAAATTCAATTGAATGATACATCACAAGACTGAAACAGAAAACATAACAATTACACGTCTATCTATATGCTAAATCATCAAGTAGTGAGGTAGTTTCCCCAGTCCCCCAAATCACACACAAACATTTAAAGCCGCTCACAACAGGTTCCATAATCTTGAATCTAGCAACTATCAACCAAGGAGTCAATCTCTGTTTTCACTTTCCGATTTCGAGGATAAAAAGCATCTGATTTGAAGTTATTAGGGACAAAGACAATATCAACATAAAAACATCTCGCCCCATGCACCCACCCCCCTCATACGCTATGTTTATATATATATAAAACATAGCGTGGACCAAACAGAAGAGTCTGTGGCGTCTCTGAGTCCGAGTTTAAGTGGTAACAGCCTCAAACCCCCCTCTCTCCTGACGCCTTACTCTGATACGACTCTGATATTACTCTGATATTACTCTGATACGACTCTGATATTACTCTGATATGACTCTGATATTACTCTGATATTACTCTGATATGACTCTGATATGACTCTGATATTACTCTGATATTACTCTGATATTACTCTGATATTACTCTGATATTACTCTGATATTACTCTGATATTACTCTGATATTACTCTGATATTACTCTGATATGACTCTGATATGACTCTGATATTACTCTGATATTACTCTGATATTACTCTGATATTACTCTGATATTACTCTGATATGACTCTGATATGACTCTGATATTACTCTGATATTACTCTGATATGACTCTGATATTACTCTGATATTACTCTGATATTACTCTGATATTACTCTGATATGACTGATATTACTCTGATATGACTCTGATATTACTCTGATATGACTCTGATATTACTCTGATATTACTCTGATATTACTCTGATATTACTCTGATATTACTCTGATATTACTCTGATATTACTCTGATATTACTCTGATATGACTCTGATATGACTCTGATATTACTCTGATATTACTCTGATATGACTCTGATATGACTCTGATATTACTCTGATATTACTCTGATATGACTCTGATATGACTCTGATATGACTCTGATATTACTCTGATATTACTCTGATATTACTCTGATATGACTCTGATATGACTCTGATATGACTCTGATATGACTCTGATATGACTCTGATATTACTCTGATATTACTCTGATATTACTCTGATATTACTCTGATATCAGGAAGAATGGTCACCCCGTCACTGGCCTCGCGTCTCTACAGAACAACAGATTAGTTAGCTTGAACAGATTGATTAGCTTTGGCCCAGAGTACATAATTCATCATTAGAGTCTTTCTTAAATTAAAATGATTTATAACCCCAGGTAGAGTTGTAGAACAGCGCCCTCTCCTGGGCGTTGGTGAAGAAGGAGACGATCAGACATTCCTTACACGGTCGTGAGGATACATCCACCAGGACATGGCCGTCTGTTGTTACTCTGATTAAAATGGGAACTGGAACTACACTTTTTGTTTTCATTTGTATGTCCTCATGAATCCACTTTAATTGTCCACATGTTTTATAGTCTGTGTGAAGGTTCCTTTCTGTTGTTATGGTTTTGTTCTCTGTACAACGTAACATATATATATACATGCTCCTGACTCCTCCAACAGTGATATAACTCCTCTGTGAGCTCCTGACTCCTCCAACAGTGATATAACTCCTCTGTGAGCTCCTGACTCCTCCAACAGTGATATAACTCCTCTGTGAGCTCCTGACTCCTCCAACAGTGATATAACTCCTCAGAGTCAGAACTAAACATGGGGAGGCTGCTTTTCAGATTCATGCTGCTAAAATCTGGAACAGTCTTCCTGAAGATGTGAGACAGGCCTCCTCTCTGACAATGTTTAAAACCAGGTTAAAGACAGTTCTGTTTAGCTGTGCTACAACTGAGGGATTTTATATTTTTATCTTTCTTTTTAATGTTCTGTGATTATTTATGATTTTAATGCTTTCTTGTTTTGTTCAGCACTTTGAGTTGCCTTGTGTATGAATTGTGCTATATAAATAAACTTGCCTTGCCTTGCCTTGGTCTCTCTCTGGTCTCTCTCTCTGGTCTCTCTGGTCTCTCTCTGGTCT